GAAAGTCCTGCACCTGCTCACCCTGATCCTTCAGAGCTCCAAGAAAGTCCTGCACCTGCTTGTCCAAGAAATTCTCTACAAATTCAGACATCATCTCATTCTAATCAAACAGAGCACCAAGTAATTGAACTGCCCTCTCATCCTGGTGCAACAGAGCTTGAAACAAGGTTGCAATTTTGCCATGATACTGCAGAACCTCCCTGTGGTATAGCATTGCTTCAACAAAGCCCTACACAGGCTTATTGTGGTCCAACAGAACTTCAAAAAGGAACTACACAACCCCAACCTGGTCCGGTTCAACTGCAACAAAGCCCTGCCCGTATGACTTCTACCCAGGCCCAGGATAGTCCTCGACAGCACAGTTGCCCCTCCACTAGCCCTACCCTGAATTCTACAGAGGAGCAGCCTCCAGCCACAGTGTCTCAGCAGAGTCCAACATGGGGTAGTCCCCTTCCTTGTGAACTTATGCACAGCCCTCCACCAAACAGTCAGTACCAGGAAGGGCATAGTCCTCCACAGCACAGCCCTCCACTTCAGATTTCCACACAGACACAGCGCCATAGACCATTTAGTCCTACAAACATCATCATCAACCTGCCTCAGCACAGCCCCCCTCAAAGATGGCATAGTTCTATGTCACATAGTCCTGCACAAGTTGGAGCCTCAACTCCACATAGTCCCATACAGGATGCTGAATCTACACTGGACCAGGAGAGCCCTGGATTATGCAACCCTACTCATCTGCAAAGTGGGACTGCACGGGACATTTCTACACTGAACCAGGACCCTTCACCAGTCTACTGTAGGTTGACCCAGACAGGTATACGACATACATTATCGAGGTCCATTTCAGCTCCTTGTAGCCCATCACTGTCCCCACTTAGACCCACACAGTGTAGTCTGTCGCAGCCTGCTAGCCCAGTAAAAGCCCACTCTGTACTGCCTCTTAGTCCTTTTCAGCTTACCCTGCTTCCCTCTCTGCGTACTGTACAGTCGAAAATCACTGACGAATCCACTGAAACCAATACAACAGGATTTAAGTCTTTGGAGCATAGCCCTACCCAGCTGAGTTCAAACATTAATGGCCAAACACCGGAAGGAAGCTCCAACTACGAACTGTCCACTGTTCCCACTGATGGCCATTGCACAGATGGCCAACTTCCAAACCAGCTTAGCCCTGTTCCAAGTAGCATGTGTAGCCCTGACCAGTCCAGCCCCACCCATGTCCCTGCACCAGAAAGCCTTGTTCACATTAGCACTTCAGCAGAACACAGTAGCCTAACTTTTTCACCTTGTGCTGGTGAAACTGAGGAAAATCCTCACCCAGCTAGCCACATTCATCAGAGGCCTTCTCATGACAGACTCTCAGGCTGCATGGAAGGTAAAGCTAGCCCCATACATATCCAAGCTAGGTCAGCTAGTTCTTTCCAAGCTAGTGCTAGCCCTACACAAACGAGTGAAATGCCTACTAGCCCTGCTAGCTCTATTCAGGCTTGTGCTTGCTCCATGCAAATTGAGACGAACCCTGCCCACGTCAGCCCTTTAGTTTCCAAAAGTAACCCCTCAGCCATATTGGCTGCACCCGTCCACCCCCCGGCTTGTCAGGATGAAGAGATTGAAGTATCTGTCAACCACCCAACTCTACTTATTCAGTCAGAAGCTGGTTCTCTTGACTCCACTCCCGGCAGTCAAGCTCTTACAAATGCTACTAATACTGACCCAGTCCACACAGACACAAACAGTAGCTACAGTCCTATGGGCACCATAGATGCTCAAGAGAGAGATAGTGTTTGTAGTTTTTCGGAGCTCACACAGAATCAAATGAGCCAAAGACCCACACATCCTTTTCAGTCAAGTCCCTTACATGTCCAATCTACCTGCAGTTCTTCACAGACTACTCCTGCTAGCTTTAGTCCTCCACACTGTATGGTGACTGGTACTAGCTCAGCTACTGACCAAAGTCTGAGCAACATTACCTCAGACTGCAGTGGCCAGACAGGTCCTCACCTAGCTAGCATAATAGATGTTGGCATCATCCACAGTCCACCTAGGTCTAGACCTGCTGGTCAAGCTAGTCCTATTCACACACAGAGCACCTCTGATTGTGTCAACTCAGGTCCTCTCAAAAGACAGAGTCCCTCATTAACTAACTTCTCATACAGCAGCCCTGCACATACTTCTGTTGCTTGTGTTAGCCCACCTTACAGGCGAGCTCAGGCCAGTGAAACCTATCATAGCCCTGCAGGTAGCCCAAATCATAGCCCATCTCTCGACACTGGAACCAATTCTGGCCTTACGGCTCATCTGAGGCCCTCTATTGTTGGCTCGAATCCTGATATGGACACCTTGGCCAGTTCTATAGTACAGAGCTCTGTTCTTCCGAGTGCATTTCACCGTGATCCTGTTTCCGAGTCCTCAGGCAGAATCATGCAGATGAGTCCAGAACCTTCCAGTTCCCTACTTGATGATTTACCTGCTGCTAGCTTCAACCAGGCTAGTCTGAGCCAGGTTAACCAGTTCCCAGTTAGTCCTCACCCAGACCCTGACAGGTCAGCTCCTGAAAACCAACGAAAAACTGCCTTGGTAAGGCCCTTGTATCAAGGAGCGCCCCCTTCTGTTGATGTTACTTCAATTCAGGCTAGTGCCAGCCATGTCTATTCTAGCCCCACTCAGGATACCACTGCAATGCCTAACACTAGTCACACTAGTGAAACACCTGCTAGTCCCCCATCCCCTGCCCCCTCACAGTTCAGTCCTGCGCAGACATATTCCTCTCCTGCGCCACTCACTCAAGACAGCGCTGTGCACAGTAGCCTAGTTAAAAGTCCTGTTTGTGGTCCCCTGGATTTAGGTTATACACCGACCTCCCCAAGTCCTGGTCCTGTCAGTCCTGTACAGCCAGTAATTAGTCCCAGTCCTGTTCCCGATGCCACTATGAGGTGTGAGGCTTGCCCTGGTCCCACTCCGGTTAGCCCTACTCTTGCTAGTCCGTTGCAGTGTGAAAAAAGCCTTTGTCTTGGTCCTGTTAGCCCTGTTCAGTCTGACACTGGTCCTGGAAAACAGGAAGTTAGGTTTGGTTCCAGCCCGCAGCAAGACACAGAAACAGAGAGGAATTCTGCAGCCACTGAGGGTGAGTGTCAGGGACACTAAGACGTTTTTGTGTGTGTGTCAGAGTCTGTTGCATCATCTTAAACGTGCTGAGTTTATACATGTTTTTGTTTCTTCAGACATCAGCATGGTTGAGAAGCATAAGGTGGAGAAAAAGACTGAAGAGGAGGAGAAAGACAGTGAAGCTCCACAGCAGGAGGAGGTGGACGAAGTGCAGGAAGTGGTGGAGGAGGTGGCGTCTCATCAGATAACAAAGGAGATACCAGAAGAGCCTGTTGAGGTGTCAGAGGAGGAAGATGATCAGGAGCAGTTTCCTCCTAACACGGCTGTCTCCTCCCCCTCACTCCCTCAGCCAGCTCCTTTCCACCCCCTTCCTCCACACTCTGTCTCACCCCAACTGCAGACAGCCCACCACTCTGCATCCTCACCTTCTGCCTTCCCCCTCCTTGCACCACTATCTCCTCCTAGAGCCGGACCTCTTGATGACTCCCTTCCCAGCACTGCCTTACCCCCCTCCTGCTTCCCCTGCACTTCATGTCCTCCCTCTCCTCCTCTGGAGGACCTCCCCCAGAAAGGGAAGCAAACCAGTCAAGGAGAAGACGAGACTGGAACAGCAGCAGAGGCGGGGCTTGAGAATGAAAAGGTTTTCAGTCAATCACAGAGCCAAGTCAAAATTGTTGCCGAGGCAACAGAACCCACCAAAGATAAGCACCAGTCACTTGCTGAGCCTTCAGTGAGAGAGGAGGAGCCTTCTGAAATGCCCCAGCCTGAATCAGTCCGGACAGCTGCTCCTGAGGTGGTTGCTGGGCAACAGCCAATGAGGGAGAGGCAGGATGAGGAGGAGAAAGAAGAGGGAGATATGGATAGGATGGATGAAGAGGAGAGGGAGGGCGCCAAGCTAGTGGACCAATCAGATGTGGAGGAGGAGGAGCCAGTGAGCCCTGTGCTAGAGCTGGACTCCTCCTTTGACAAGGACGTGATGGAGCTGATGACCTCATCAACTCCTCCCCCCTCCCTCCTACACCTCTCCTCCCCCAGCCCGCCTCCCTCCCCCCGACGGGGGACTCTCAGGTTTCCTCCCTCCTCCTCCAGACCTTTAGATGACCTCTCCATCCGTCTCAGACAGTCTCCCTTCTCAACTGAGGCCTCCCCCGAAACCTCTCCCAGGAGAGATCTCATCACCCCACCTCCTCTCTCCCCACCCTCACCTTCTCCCAGGTCCCCCCCCTCTGCCAGAGAGTCTCCACCTCTGTCCCAGGTAACTCTACAAAACACACCGGTCACCATCTATTTCTGTTTCCTCCTCTTACTGAGGTGTCCTTCCTGTTTCCTCCTCCTGCTGACGTCTCCTTCCTGGTTCCTCCTCCTGCTGACTTCTCCTTCCTGTTTCCTCCTAATGACATCTCCTTCCTGTTTCCTCCT